TGCATTATTCTCAGGCAGACACTTCGATAGAAATATAGATGTATATGAGTTGATTACATAAAAAGAGCCAAAAAAGTATTAAATTTGGTGTTTAGTAACGGCTTTAGGAGAAAAAACAAAATAATAAAATTTAATGTTGCTGGGACTCTAGGCGGGAAAATGAAAATAATAAAATAAAATGTTGTTGCTCCAATATATATATATATATAGATAAAAATTCAATGCTTGCGAGTAATCGGGTCGTGTAATGAGTTTTTCTCCAACACCCGTACCCGACCTGACTCGAAGTTCGAGTAGCATAATTCTACCCAAGCCCAGCTCGAAATCCAATCATCCTGGATTTACTCGCCCCAAAAATATAGGTAACCCAACCCTACAGATTTTATTGATATGCCTACTGGTAGTCGTCTTCCAAGCATGTCAATTAACTAATCGAACATTGTATGTATGTGTGTAGAGAATAAATAAAACATTATATGATTAAAAGAATCACATCCTACCAACATAAACAAGAAATGAGCATGATAGTTAGACAGTAAATCGGCTTAATAGTACCCCTCCAACTGCACAAGGGTGCTTTTGTGAGCCAAAACTGGTTCACGAATTGAATATAATTCCCCAACCAACCCTTTTGTTAGGGGTGTGATCCATCCGATTTCTTCGGTAGCAATAACCACGTAGAAAACCATCCAAGGCCCGTTTTTGGATGATCCTTTAAACACCAACAGCTCCATCTGCTGCAACCAACCGACCGGCTGAATACTAAACAAATCTTTATGCCCGCAAACCTCTCGAATTTCCTTCATCGTCCTACTTCCCAACACAATCTGACGTTCCCATTCTCTCCAATAATAAGAATCCCCCGAAACCATCTCCCAAACTCGAAACACGCAATCCCGATCAACTCGAACCACTAGACTGAGGGACTTCCCCGTTGACAGGTACCACCTTCCCCTGAACTTGGGATGATACATGGGGACTGGGGCCCGAGTCTCAGTCATAACCTCTGTCTCCACATTCAGCGTCGTGACATTGTCAAAAATAATAGAATGAATAAAACCCTCTGTCACCAACAGGTTGCCGATGGTAAACTCAGTCAAATGGTCGGTTGGAAGATGCCTCCATGACTTGTCGACACCCACGGTCAATATGGCCCACCGACCGTGAGCCTCCCTTCCCCCATCAATGTATGCCAAGGCCACCTTGTACGCCTTTGAGGCCTCCGCGTACCCCACGCAACAACGTATACACTTTGCATTTTTTGGGTGCGGAGGGAGTCAGAAGGGTCGTCCAGTGACAGGGTTGGCCACGTGGAGTTCAGACAAGGGTGTGCCATGCTCGTACTCGAGGATGAGGCCGTTGCAACTAGTGTGTTTGTTAAATCTGGATTTGTAAGGGTAGTAGTATTCGGATATTGCGACACGGCCTTGTTTCATAGACACGAAGAGCGCGCGTTGGGAGGAATGATGTAGATCATTATTAATAAGCACACGTGTGGGACCATAAACGAATCGGAAGAAGAGACCGTATTCCTCAGTTTGGCGGAGGTGGAGGTTTACGAATTCCTCGGATCGGACCGTGTGGTAGTGCAGCCTCCGGCAGACGAGACTTGCCCTATAAACGTCTTGAGCAGAGAGGTTCAACAGGATCTTCAACAGCAGATCATCGGGAAGGGAAAGGAGATTGTTCTGCGCACAAACACCGGCTTGCTTTTCGCCTTCTGCTTCAGCTTCGCCGGACGGCGGGCGGAAGATTGACGATGGAAAGTTAGCCATTACGATTTCGAATTGTCTGTTTTGTTGTGCAAATATTCTTGCCCAATATTCAGATGTCCAATTTTTATTTAGAGATAGGTTTCCTAATGCATTAATAAATAGGAGTACCAAATATGCTCGGCTTCTACTTTCTTTCTCAGTTGCAGAATCTGGGCTTATTTGTCATTAACATGTGTTATACTCACACTTCTACGTTTGGTTCTTGCCAATTAAATATGGAAATTACCATAAATTACTTTATTGTTCCTTATTTGTTTGTATATTAACTATGGAAATTACCATAATTATTTTGGGAAAATTTTTAAACAGAATATTATTACTCAATAACTTATAATATTAGTTTGATCATAAATTCTCCGCTGATCATAAGTCATACATTATTAAAAATCCCCTTGTACACTACAATATGAATTTAATTATTAAGTACCTCACCGTCCCCACTAGCTAATATTTTCAACTTTTTCCTATTAGTCTATATATATATATAATAAGAATTACTATTTACCAAAAATAGTAACCGAAAAGTTTCCACCAAAAATTAATTTCATGAGCCCTAAAATGGTGGGATTGTTGAAGATAAAATGGTGGGATTGTTGAAGATAAAAAAAATTGCTCCGATTTTGATGTGAAATTTAAATTCACCTTTCATTCTTATTGGATGTTTCCAAAAAATTGGGCTGAATTGAGATTTTGGACCAAATTAAATTGCATTCAAAATTTTGAAACAGATTGAGATTTATTAAAGTAGTTAATATGAAACAATTTCATGTTTCCCTTTTTACATACGAAGAGAAAACTTGCGCCAATTTCTTTTTTTTTGTTAAAAAAAAAACCAATTAAAATCTTGAATTTCTGTATATATCGATATGAAACATTCGTCTAAATAATTTGGGGAAATCAACATCCTACTTTGTACAAGTCACATCGATACATCCTACTTTGTAAAGGGAATAACCAATTATTAAAAATAGTAGTAATGAAATATTGAAGCATTTAATGCATATCTTATTTGGAAATTATTAAATATATGCATTAATTGCTTTCACAAACACATTTCTAAATCAAATAGGATAAAAAAGATTATTTTCTTGAATATTAACATCTGCAATAATTTTATTGATATTCATTATAATAAACTATAATTTGATTTTCTGTGATTCATATTCCTGATCAACTGGGACAACTGAAGGTTCGTCGATTTACTGCCAACTTTCAAATACTTACACCTTTTTTCAACATAAACATGAAAATAAATTTTAAGTGTTAATCATGTTATTATTTTTTTTCATAAATATTGACTTTCATCCTAAAATATTTACAAACAATCGTAACATGTTAAATATTTTCTCCTTCTAACTAATTAGATGAAATCAAGTTGGTGAATTAATATTTTTTGATAATATTCTTTAACCTTTATTTAATTATATAATAACAAATAATTTTTTAAATTAAAATAATTTACCATTTGAGAGATAATGATCACATCATTAAATAATTTACTAATTGTTAGGTAATAAAATTAAATTATATTAACTATTCTTTACAATTTCAACATGTGATTTATTTGTATGTTATTGTCAACCATGATAATTCTTATAAACTTTTATTTTTTATTAATTTCCATAATGAATTTATTGTAAAATATATATTATATTGCATATTATGTTAAATAAAGTAATAAAGCCTTAAGATGCAAATTAGAAAATTATCTTGATTATGAAAGGGTTTATTATTTGACAATTTGCTAAATCAATTTTTTTAATTATTATGAGAAAATTAAATTTTAAAAAACATGTGTGTGTATTTTGTAAATATTTATACACATAATATTATTTGGAAATTCATTACTTAAACTAAAAAGAAGAAGACTACTTCTATAACCTTTATAAATAATAATAATGGCCGGTACTAATAATGGTACAAATTAAAAAAATTTCTTGATTATGTAAGGGTTTATTATTTGGCAATTTGCTAAATCAATTTTTTTATAATTATTATGAGAAAATTAAAATCTACAAAACATGTGTGTGTATTTTGTAAACATTTATAAATAAAATTTTATTTTAAAATTCATTACATAAACTAAGAAGAAGAAGACTACTTTCTATAACCTTTATAAAATAATAATAATAACATTATATGCAATATATATTATAATAAAATAATAATTGAATATTATATGGTGAACAAGAATAAATATAATTTTTATTTTTTCCTTATATCTAGGAGTAAATATATATTTAATTTAAAATCAAATTTATATTACTATAACGTGTTAGAAAAATAATATATTAATTAACATGTGAACGTTATGGTTAAAACAAACATCACTGATTGAAACAAGTGGAAAATTGATGATCTAATCCTATTGTTTTTTGGCTAAATGTAAGCCTATAAAATGACTCATTTAATATATGTGTTCTCGTGCATCGCACGGGCTATGCACTGGTTACACATAAAACAACATGGCCGTGACTAAAAAAGTGGTTTCTTCAACAACCACCCAATACGAGATAAAGGCTCACCCCAACAATATATGCGTTTTTGTATTTTTCGGTAAACCATATGAGTTTTATTGAATATTTATAACCTTCACATACGTGTCACAGCAAAAAAATATGGTATAATTTTTTTTTTTTCCCGAAACGAAATATGATATAAAATTAAAGTGATAATATTTATTGATGTGGTAAATGTCACAATATTTTTTTATTCGGATGATACCAAAAAGAAAAGAATTTTCACCGCGAAATCATGATACAATAAAAAAAAAGGATCGTTTAAAAATCTCTGATTTAATTAGTATGAGTTGTAGTTGAATAGAAAACTGAATATTATGTAAATATTAAAAGATTGTTACCATGATTAGTGGATTGTGTGTTTATCTATTATATTCTCTTAGTCTCATTTTTATCACCAATTTGATTCCAATATTTGAAAAAAATTTGAAATGTAATCTTTAAAATAAATTTGTTACGTTTAAATGATCATATAGATCATATTTATTGCATAACATGTAAAAAAAATGTTACGTTCAAAAAAGAGATTTGTTAATTATATGAATATAAACAATTGTAAATAAGATTCAAAATAGAGATTTATTTATATAAATATAAACACTTGTAAATAATATTTCCATAAAGATTGTATTTTTACTATAGCATTGTCATTAAAAAAAATGTTACATGATTAGTGAATTTTGTTTTTATCTCTTTTATTCTCTTAGTCTCAGTTAGGGCCAATTCAATTGCATTCTTTGGAATAATTGTAAAATGTAATCTTTAAAATGCATTTGTTATGTTTAGAAAGAGATTTAAATTATATCTATTTGTATAACAATACTAAAAAAATTGTTACATTAAAATAAGAGATTTATATATGAAAAAACACTTGCAAATCAGATTTCCATAAAGATTGCACTATGTATTTATCTTTTTTATTATAGCATTCTCATTTGTAATCCAAAACAATTAATATGAACAATCGTGTGTGAATCTAATTTTATTAAGAAAATAAAGATAAGATACTAATAAAATTTTATTTGTGTATATCTAAAAGATGTTTCAACACAAAAATCGTGGTACACTAAAAAAAGGATTGTTGAAAAATCTGATTTAGTTTGTATGCTATGTAGTTGGAAATTCTAAATGTTAATAGAAAACTGCTTATTATGAGAGTAAAATAAAATAAAAATAGATCTATTTGTATAAATATAATAACATGTAGATTACATTTATTTAATTAAAAAATATTCTTATTAACAATGAATTTGTGTAAATTAGTTTTTATAAGGAAAAAATGAAATACACATATTAAATGAGTTTTTGTGTATATCTAAAGGATTCTTCTACCACAATAACGTGTTACTATAAAAAAAATACCTTAAAAAAACAGATTTTGACAAAATCAATTGAATCCGTTTTTTCATGGCTACTCTCTCCCATGCAATTAATGTTTTTTTTTTTTGGTTTTGTATTTAAAAAATGTGTGATAATTTTTTTTCTTTTGGAAGGTCATTAATTATTTTGGCCTGAATTTCTTACTAAAATTGATTTAATCTTATTTTTATTATATATGTATAGATACTAGTACGTACCCTGTGCGATGCACGAGACGGAGATATTAAGTGAATTATTTTCACAAACTCTGTCCGTTTAAGTCTAAAAAGCGATATGGTTATCATCTATTTTCTATCTTTTTTAATCAGCGTTAAGTTTAAAAAACAATATGGTTATAATTTATTTTCCACCTCTTTTAATCAGCGTTGTTTTTTTAGTCAGAACATTAAATATGAACATGTTAGGGCTAACTTGTAAAATAATTAATATATTATCTCACTAACACGTTTATACTAATATAAATTTAATTTTAGTATATATATTTATTCATTGATAAAAGAAAATAACAGTTTTACTTATTCTTGTTCACCGTATAATACTTAATTATTATTTTATTATAAACTATGTTGTTATATAATGTCATTATTATTTATAAAAATTATAGAAGTTGTACGTCTTTTTTTCCTTATTATTTTATGTAATGAAAAATATTTAATGCACGTTAGTATTATTTATTTACCTAATCAAATTAAAATATGTAAATAAATTTTAAATTAAATAATGTATAAATATTTTACGAAATATACACACATGTTTGTATACTAATTAAACAACTTTGATTTAGCAAATGCCAAACACAGAATCCCTTCTATAATCAATATTTTTCTAATTTGCATTATAAGCATTTATATTTTATTTTGCATACTCTGGGATGAAGGTATATTTTACAAGAATTTCATTATATAAAGAAATAAAAATAAAAAAAAATGATAAAAAAGTAATCATGGTTGCCAATAATATACAAATAAATTCTAAAGAACAATTAATATATTTCAAATTTAATTTTTGACTATTAGTAAAACTATATAATGTATCTAGTCATTATATCTTAAATGGTAAATTATGTTAATTTAATGAGTAATTTATATTTTATATATAATGAAATCATGCTTGAGAAAAAATTATATTGACAAATATTAATTCACCAACTCGATTTCGCCTCATTAATAGGAAGAAAAAAAATTCTACCTAACCTATTACGATTTTCTATACATATTTTTGGATAAAAAATGAATATTTGTGAAAATAATTATTATTATGGTTAGAACTGTGTTGTAATATATAAAACAAAAGACCCATTTGCTTAATTTTACTTATGCTCACAAATTAAGAAATGAAACACCACTGTATGCATGGAGAGAATAAATAAAACAAAAGACCATCAGCTTAATTTTTTTTTTTTTTTTATTTAAGAGAAAAACACTATATTTGTACAAAAATCACGTCCTACCAACATAAACAAGAAATGAGCATGATAGTTAGACAGTAAATGGGTTTAATATTACCCCTCCAACTGCACAAGGGTGTTTTTGTGAGACAAAACTGAACCAAGAATTGTATAAACTTCCCCAACCAACCCTTCCTTGTTACTTGATATGGGTGTGATCCATCCGATATCCCCTGTAGCAATAACAATATAGAAAATCTTGCAAGGTTCGTTTCTGGAAAATCCTTTACACACCAACACCTCCATTTGCTGCAACCAACCGACTGGATGAATATAAGCCAAATCTTTATCCCCGCAAACCTCTCGAATTTCCCTCATCCTCCGACTTCCCAACACAATCTGACGTTCCCATTCCCTCCAATAATAATAATTATAATCCCCATACACCATCTCCCAAACTCGAAACATGCCATCCTCAACTTTATCCACTAGAGTGAGGGCTTTCCCAGCTGATAGGTACCAGTTCGTGTAGTTGGGATAATCCACGGGGACTGGGGCCCGCGTCATGGTCATAACCTCCGTCCCCACATTCAGCGTCCAGACGATGTCCCTAAGAATCAAATGAACAAAACCCTCCGTGACCATCGGGCGGCTGAGTGTAGGCTCCGTCAAATATTGGTCGGTCTCAAGATGCCTCCATGACTTGTCGACACCCACGGTCAATATGGCCCGTCTCTTTACCCTTCCCCCATCAGTATCAATGTATGTCAAGGCCACCTTGTACGCTTTTGAGGCCTCCGCGTACCCCACGCAACACCACAGTAACTTTGCATTTTTGAGAAGTGGAGGGAGTTGGAATGGTCGTCCCGTGACAGGGTTGGCCACGTGGACTTCGGACAAGGGTGAGCAAAACTTGTACTCGAGGACGAGGCCGTTGCAGCTAGTCTGTAAGAAAAATCTGGATTTGTAAGGGTAGTAGTAGTCGGATAAAGTGACACGTCCCTGTTTCATAGACATGAAAACCGCGCGTCGGGAGGAATGTTCATCACTATTAATAAGCGCACGTGTTGGGGCACAAATGAACCGGAAGAAGAGGCCGTATTCGTCAGTTTGCCGGAGGTGGAGGTCTACAAATTCCTCGGATCGGATAGTGAGGTAGTACAGGCTCCGGCAGACACGACTTGCCGCGTAATAAATGTCTTGAGCAGAGAGGTTCAATAGGATCTTCAAGAGAAGATCATCGGGAAGGGAAAGGAGATTGATTTGGGTACAAACGCCGGCTTGCTTTTCGCCGTCTGCAATGCCACCACCTACAGAATCAGTCACCATAACACCCTCCTCATAAGAATCGCTTCAGTTAAATGTTAAAGAACATACCAACATATTTACATTAAAATGAAAAGAAAAAAAAAAACCTCTAATCACACAATACTGCTTCTGACTACAAATAAAAATAACACATTAGTACAAGGCAATGAATAAAAACAAATATATTTCATAACAATGGAGCCTGGTGCTGAATATACAGCCCACAAAAGCAGAAGGATACAATCCATAATCATCTTCAAGGTTATCCTGATTTTCATTATCTCCATAGAAAAATCCAGAAAGACGCACATTGTGTGAGCCAATAATTGAAAAGGTGGCTTCCTCACCTTCATCAAACTCAAGGTTCAATGCACAATTCTCGAGCTTTTCCGGTAACAATGAACACAAGTAAATGGGTTTCTTATCTCCCACCTTACACTGCAGAATTCTCTTCTTAGTGGAGGATCCTGCACCTAATGTCTCCTAAACAGAAAATCATGCATCTATCAAAGTACAATCACAGCTTTAAACAGAATAATCATGCGTGTATCGGATTTCCATTTAGCACCAAATGTAGGAAAAATGGCTTCTACCTTAAAATGATACTTCCATTAACTCAAAGACCATTNCCCGAAAAAAAAAAAAAAAGAAAGCGAAGAAATAATGACATCCTCGAAAACAAACCTGGGACACGTGAAGTCTTCCCTTCTCCTCGTCAGAATAATGAACATACGGTTTGCCTGGTTCCACTTCAATTCCTGAGCTTTTCAGAATGAGAAAATTACAGAGTTAAAACATAAATCAGCTTAGTTAAAAGTGGGCAGCAGCTAAATACAGAACAATAAACTGAAGAAATCCGCGCTCCACGACAAGTTTACCACAGAAAGCCATTGTTGAGGCGCAATTGCAGTGTTCTGTAAAACCCTAGGGGCCAGAGCAATGCCGGTTGTGAGTTTAAAATCCCTAATAAATATTTTCTCAAAAAGGAAAGAAAAAACATATTAAATAAATATTAGTAGACCAACGCCCGTGAATTGGAAAACAAGATGGACCAAATTTGCCCCTATGGTTTATGTACGGTATGTTTAGGTTTGTTATGATCGATGTTTAAGTGATTATGAGATAGGTTTAATTCTATCAAATAGAAAAATATTTTTTGTGATCATGTTATTTTTGTCGGGCAGAGATATCATAAGATTGGTCTAATTTGTTCTGCAAACGACCAAACTTTTTTTTTTCAGTTTGTCGTTTTTTGGGCTTGCCTCTTCATTTTGGCATTTTCGTGTATAATAATTTAGGTTTTTATTGCTCAAAGTATGTTGATGTCAGTTAACATTGTTTTGTTACTCTTTATTTTGTTCTTGAATCATATAATGTTGATATTACTTTACTACGTTATTTTGTTCTCAAATTATGTAACATTGACATCGTTGAGTGAAAAAAGATGAAATCAATACAGAGTAGAACCTCCATTCTTTAACATTGGTATGGACATATGAATTCTTCCTAACATGTACAAGGGTAGTTCATGGACCCCATCAGCTTAGGTGAGCCCCTCAATTCTTCCAAGCATGTCAATTAACTAATCAAACACCATTGTATGCATGTGTGGAGAGAATAAATAAAACAAAAACCCATCAGCTTAATTTTTTTTTTTTTTTTTTTTTTTTTTTTTTTTNGAGAAAAACACTATATGTTCAAAGAAATGAACATGATAATTAGACAGTAAATGGGTAAATGGGTTTAATAGTACCCCTCCAACTGCACAAGGGTGTTTTTGTGTGAGTCACAACTGGATCATTAATTTTATAAAATTCCTCAACCAATCCTTCCTTGTTACTTGATATGGGTGTGATCCATCCGACTTCTCCCGTAGCAATAACCACGTAGAAGACCTCGCCAGCCCTGCATTTGGACTTTGCTGCAAACACCAACACCTCCATCTGCTGCAACCAACCGACCGGATACATACAAACAAAATCTTTATCCCCGCAAACCTCTTGAATTTCCCTCATAATCCGACTTCCCAACACAATCTGACGTTCCCACTCCTTCCAATAATTACCCGACACCATCTCCCAAACTCGATACACGTGATGCCTAACTTCAACCACTAGAGTGAGGGACTTCCCAGTTGACAGGGGCCACCGTCTCGTGAACTTGGGAGAATTCTTGGAGAATATTATTGGGGCCCGCGTCTCCATCATAACCTCCGTCTCCACATTCAGCGTCAGGACAATCTCCTCAGAAATCGAATGAACAAAACCCTCCGTGACCACAAGGTGGCCGAGGGTAGACTCCGTCAAATGGTCGGTTGCAAGATGCCTCCACGAACTATCGACACCCACGGTCAATATGGCCCACTGCGCGTGAGGGGGGTTCATTCCCCCAGCACGGTATGCCAAGGCCACCTTGTAAGCCTTGGAGGCTTGCGCATACCCCACGCCACAATGCATAAACTTTACGTTTTCGGGGAGCGGAGGGAGCTGGAAGGCTCGTCCGGTGACGGGGTTGACCACCAAGACGCCAGACGAGGCTACCCAAGTACTGTACTCCGGGATGAGGCCGTTGCAACTACGACTGTTGAATCTGGATATGTAAGCGCAGTAGTAATCGGATACTGTCACACGTCCCTGCTTCATAGACACGAAAACCTTGCGTTGGGAGGAATGTTGATCGTTATGAATAAGCTCACGTGTTGGGGCGTAAGTGAATTGGAACAAGAGGCCGTATTCGTCGGTTTGCCGGAGGTGGAGATTTACGAATTCCTCGGATTTGATCGTGTGGTAGTATAACCTCCGGCAGACGAGACTTGCCCTGTAAATGTCTTCAGCAGAGAGGTTTAACAGGATCTTGAAGAGCACATCATCCGGAAGAGAAATTAGGGGATTGATTTGGGCACAAACGCCGGATTGCTTTTCGCCGTCTGCAATGCCCTCTGCTTCAACTTCGCTGGACGAAGGTGGAGACGACGACTGCTGGCGGAAGATTGACGATGGAAATTTGGCCATTACGATTTCGAATTGTCTGTTTTTTCGTAAAAATATTCTTGCCGAATATTCAGATGTTCAATTCTTATTACAAATATGTTTCCTATGGCACTAATAAATAGGAGTACCAAATTTGCACGGCTTTTACCTTTTTCTTGCAGAATGTTTTAGTTCCCCCACATGTTCCTAGGCTTGTTTGTCATTAATATTTGCAAATATGCTCTGCGTTTGGTTCTTGCCAATTAAATTTGAAAATTATCATAAATTACTTTTTTATTCTTTATATATATATACAGAATTGATATACATAGCAAAAGTGATATATATATATATATATATATATGTCAACTATATTAACTTTTATCAGTTTTGGCAATTAGATTTATAAATAATATTTAAATATTTCAAATTGAAGCAATAATAATCAATCCACCTGTGGAGGTGATGGATCCGACGGCGTCGCTCTTTGTAAAAGTGATCGCGTTAGGCAAATCGACACCCACTGCACGCAGAATAACTGACTGGCTGCACTGCTCGAGATTTTAGTCCTGGCAAGCATAGGCTCGTTGTTGCCTTCCCGATTGGACAGACTCTAACCTGTTGGTGTTAATCAGACGAGTCGATTGTCAATCACATGAAGTCGGATGAGAATGGGATTGAGATTTACGAGAGTCATGTTTTTAATTTCGATATATTAACATAATTCATTATGTAATATGCTTATTTTATTTTATTAATTCAGAAAAATGAATAAACCATATAAATATAAAAACATAATTTAAAATCTCAAAAAAAATAAAATAAAATTATTTACTAGTAAACATAAAATATGAATGAAAAAGTTAAACTTGGAATAAAAAATAATGTGTAGTATAGTTGAAAATAAAACAAGTTGTCCGTGGTATAATTTTTTCCTTGAAAATCATGCTCCACAAGGAAGACACCTGCCTGCCGCATGAAGGAAGGATTTTTTTTATTTTTTTTTTTTCCCGATTTTGCGCATCCAACCTACCAACGCAATTTACATTCCCTCCAATTTCCTCCTGTTAATCACCACACAATGTAGCTTAACTGCATTGTCTAATTGTGTTAGACAAATAGTTAATCAAACTGGTAACCGTCTTCCAGACATGTGAACCAACTAATCAAACACCATTGTATGTGTGGAGAGAATAAATAAAACATAAACAAAGGTGTTTTTGTGAGGAACAACTGGACCAAGAAGTCTATAAAATTCCCCAACCAACCCTTTTGATATGGGGGTGATCCATCCTACTTATCCGGTAGCAATAACCACGTAGAAAACATCAGAACGCCTGTTTCTGAACCATTCTTTAAACACCAACACCTCCATCTGCTGCAACCAACCTGGCTGAACACAAGACAAATATGGAATTTCACTTCCCAACACAATCTGACTTTCCCATTCCCTCAAATAATAATAATCATAATCCCCATACACCATCTCCCAAACTCGAAACACGCCATCCTCAACTTTATCCACTACAGTGAGGGCTCTCCCAGTTGACAGGTACCACGAGCTCATGAACTTGGGAGGATCCACGGGGAATCCTGGGCCCGGCGTCTCGGTCATAACCTCCGTCTCCACATTCAATGTCAGGACAATGTGCCCATAAATCAAATGAATAAAACTCTCTGTGGCCACAAGTTGGCCGAGGGTAAAGTCAGTCAAATGGTCGGTTGCAAGATGCCTCCACGACCTGTCGAGGCCCATGGTCAACATGGCCCACCACATGCGAGGGTTCCATCCCCCATCGCGGTATGCCGAGGCCACCTTGTAAGCCCTGGAGGCCTGCGCGTACCCCACGCAACAGTGCATAAACTTTGCGTTTTCGGGGATAGGAGGGAGTCGGAAGGCTCGTCCCGTGACGGGGTTGACCACCAAGATGCCAGACGAGGGTACCCAACAATTGTACTCCGGGATGAGGCCGTTGCAGCTACCACTCAAGTGTTGGGGCATAAATGAATGGGAACAAGAGGCCATATTCCTCAGTTTGCCGAAGGTGGAGGTTTACGAATTCCTCGGATCGGATCGTGTGGTAATATAGCCTCCGGCAGACACGACTTGCCGTGTAATAAATGTATTGAGTAGAGAGGTTCAACAGGATCTTCAACAGCAGATCATTGGGAAGGGAAAGGAGATTGTTTTGGGCACAAACACCGGATTGCTTTTCGCCGTCTGCAATGCCACCATCTTCAGAATCAGTTACCGTAAAATGTTAAAGAACATACCAACATATTTACATTAGAAAGAAAAGGCAAAAAAACCTCTAATCACACAATGGTTGCTTCTGACTAAAAATAAATAACATATTTAGGCAATGAATTGAAAACAAATATATTCCATAACAATGGAGCCTGGTCCTGAATATACAGCCCACAAAAGCAGAAGGATACGACCCATAATCATCTTCAAGGTTATCCTGATCCTCATCACCTCCAATAGAAAAATCCAGAAAGATGCATACTGTGAGAGCCAATAATTGAAAATGTGGCTTCCTCGCCTTCCTCAAACTCAAGGTTCAACGCACAAGTCTCGATCTTTTCCGGTAACAATGAACACAAGCAAATGGGTTTTTTATCTCCCACCTTACACTGCAGAATACTACTCTTAGTGGAGGACCCTGCACCTAATGCCGCCTGAACAGAAAATCATGCATCTATCAAATTACAATCACAGCTTTAAACAGAACAACCATACGCCAAAATGGCTTCTACTTCAAAATGATACTTCCATAAACTCAAAGACCATTTTCTATCACGAAAAATAAAAACAAACCTGGGACACGTGAAGTCTTCCCTTTTCGTCGTCAGAATAATGAAAATACGGTTTGCCTGGTTCCACCTCAATTCCTGAGTTTTTCAGAATGAGAAAATTAGAGTGTTAAAACATGAATCAGCGGAGTTAAAAGTGGGCAGCAGCTAAATTCAGAACATTAAACTGAAGAAATCCTTGCGACACGACAAGTTTACCCCAGAAAGCCATTGTTGTGGCGCAATTGCAGTGTTTTCTAAAACCCTAGGGTCCTGAGCAAACGCTGGTTCTGAGTTTTAAATCCCTAATAAATATTTTCTCAAAAAAGAAAGAAACAGCATATTAAATAAATAGTAGTAGACCAACGCCCGTGAATTGAAATGAAAAACAAGATGGACCAAATTTGCCCCTATGGTTTGTGTATTGTATGTTTAGGTTTGTTATGATGGATGTTTTGTGATTAGGATATGTTTGTATATTAGATGCCGATATCAAAAGATAGGTTTAGTTCTAGCAAATAGAAATTACTTTTTGTGATCCCGGTAATTTTGTGTGGTAGGGATACCATAAGATTGGTCTATTTTGTTCTGTTAATGACCAAATGTTTTTGTAGTTTGTTGTATATTTTGGGCTTGCCTCTTCATTTTGGCATTTTCGTGTCTAAATTAGGTTTATTTTATTGCTCAAATTATGTTGATGTCAGATAACATTAGAGCATCTCCAATGTTTTAATGTTGTTATTAAATAAATTATGTCAAATGTTAATAAATTAAATAGAGTGTGTGAACCATGTAGGAAAAATATTAAGTTCAAAACTATGAAATTTAAAAATTATCTCCAATGCACAATATAGTCTATCTACAATAATATCTACTTACCAAATATTAAAATTTTAATAAGTAAGAAAAAAATTAAATAATTTAAGAATTGTAAGAATAATTCTCCCTTCTCTTCATTGGCTAGCTAGAGTGTGGAGGAAAATATAGATAAACCACATTATTCTCTACATTGTGGACATTAATTATGTCCACATCACCACAATATTTGTGATTACATTATATATTAAAGGATAAAAAGTTGTGATATTACTAAATGTGGTGATGTTGCATGTAATTTACCACAACAACATTTGAGCATTGGAGGTGTTCTTATTTTGTTACTCTTTATTTTATTTCTTGAATTATATAATATTGATATTACTTTACTACCTTATATATTTTTTTCTCAAATTATGTAACATTGACATCGTTCACTGAGTGAAAAAAGATGAGATGACTAGAGAGTGGAACCTCCATTCTTTGACCCGTCACCAAATTTTGTATATATGAATATTTTAATGATGGGTAAAGTAAAGATTATGATTGGCATGGAGATATGAATTCTTCCAAACATGTACAAGGGTTGTTCATGGAGCCCATCAGCTTAGGCTAGCCCCTTAATTCTTCCAAGCATGTCAATTAACTAATCAAACACCATTGTATTTGTATGTATGTGTGGAGAGAAAAAATAAAACAAAAAGCCATCAACTTATTTTTTTTTCTTTCTTTTTTAAAAAGGAAAACACTATANTCAAAAAAAAAAAAAAAAATCCCATCCTACCAACATAAACAAGATATGAACATGATAAGTAGACAGTAAATGGGTTTAATATTACCCCTCCAACTGCACAAGGGTGTTTTTGTGAGGCAAAATACTTGTATAAGATTCCCCAACCAACCCTTTCTCCTGACTTGATGATACGGGGGCAATCCATCCTATTTCCCCAGTAGCAATAACCCCGTAGTAAACATTGATAGACCTGATTTTGGACAATCCTTTAAACACCAACACCTCCATCTGCTGCAACCAACCAACCGGCTCAATATGAATCAAATCATGAATTTCACTTTTCAACACAATCTGACGTTCCCATTCCCTCCAATAATGATAATTATCCCGAGACACCATCTCCCAAACTCGAAACACGCAATGCTCAACTTCAACCAATACAGTGAGGGACTTCCCCGTTGACAGGTACCACCAGAGCACGATGGCAGGATCCGGGACTGGGCCCCACATCTCGGTCATAACCTCCGTCTCCACATTCAGCGTCAGGACACTGTCCCCATAAATCCAATGAACAAAACCCTCCGTCACCAACGGTTGGCCGAGGATAGACATTGTCAAATGGTCGGTTGCAAGATGCCTCCATGACTTGTCGACACCCACGGTCAATATGGCCCGCTTCGCACGAGTGTACACTCCCCCATCACTGTACTCCACGGCCACCTTGTAAGCCTTGGAGGCCTGCGCGTAACCCACACAACAATCCATAAAGTTTGCGTTTGCGGGGAGAGGAGGGAGTCGGAAGGCTCGTCCCGTGACGGGGTTGACCACGACGACGCCAGACGAGGGTACCCGACAATTGTACTCCGGGATGAGGCCGTTGCAGCTACCACTGCTGAATCTGGATATGCGCTCACAGTAGTAATCGGATACTGTCACTCGTCCCTGTTTCATAGACACGAAAACCTTGCGTTGGGAGGAACGTTGATCAACATTATTGAATTGGAGCAATAGGCCGTATTCGTCAGTTTGCTGCCGGAGGTGGAGGTTTATGAATTCTTCGGATCGGATCGTGCGGTAGTAGAGGTTCCGGCAGACGAGACTCGCCCTGTAAATGTCTTCAGCAGAGAGGTTCAACAGGATCTTCAAGACTAGATCATCGGGAAGGGAAAGGAGATTGATTTGGGCACAAACGGTGGCCCGCTTTGACGATGGAAATTCGGCCATTACAATTTCGAATTGTCTGTTTTGTTGTGCAAATATTCTTGCCCAATATTCAGATGTCCAATTTTTATTGCAAATATATTTCCTAGTGCACTAATAAATAGGAGTACCAAATTTGTTCTACACGGCTTTTACTTTTTTTTTCTCATTTGCAGAAGGTTTTAGTGCCTCCACATCTTCTTGGCATATTTGTCATTAATATGTGCAAATTTGCTCTACGTTCGGTTCTTGTAAATTAAATTTGGAAATTACCATAAATTACTTTATTATTCCTTTTTTCTTATATATATATATATATATATATGTTAACTATATTAACTTTGATCAGTTTTGGCAATTAGATTTATAAAAAGATTTAAATATTTCAAATTGAATAATAAAATAATAAATAAAACTACAAATCATCTTATAAATATAAAAAAATATTTGGATAATATGACATAAACCAAAGATTCTAATGTCTTTTATATAGGGTTTCATACGCCATATTTTTTTTACATTGCTCATCTGATTAATACCGCAAGTATTTAGATATTCAAGTTTTATCAAAAATATGTTGCATAATACACTAAGGATGTGTTTGGTAGGCATGATTAGGCTTGATATTCCACCATTTGTTAATATATCAAGTTGTTTATTTTGTTTGGTTGGCCTTTGTATAGCCCGTTAAACCCGCAAAAGCCCGGTTGTTAGTCCCTTTATTTTGTAGGCTTAAGTACATAAAGACGAGAATTCCAAAAGAAATTAGCATAACAGCGAAGCCTTAAAAGTAATTCCATGTTTACGGTTGTGAAAAAAATTAATGTCACAAGAACGAGATTATCAATTTATGGAAGTCATCCAATATATGTGATAGGAGTCTACGGTTTACTATCTATATATATATAATTGCTAGCTAATAGCATTTAATAAAACATTTAATAAAAATATTTTCACTTTCCCTCCAAAAGGAGTTACATTTTTTTAATTAATTACTCATTAATCTCACATTTAAGAAGGTTTCTTATAGTTAAATTTAATTAGTTAATGACTAAATTAAAAAGATTTATTTTAATTAATCCCACATTTATGTTAAGTACAGTATTATCGTAATATCTTATCAGTTTTTTTAAAAAAAATAGTAACTTTTTTCAATAAATTTTATAAAAATTAGTTAAATGTGCTTATATTCATATAAATCAGAAAAAAAAATCATAGATATATAAAAAGAACATCGTTGAAATAACTTGAATCCACGAAAAAAAAATTAAACATACGTAAAAAAAATTCTGACTGTGATTAAATATAACAAAAGGGCCTTAATCGGCCTCTTAAAATCACGATGCGGGCGGTTCCAGTCCATTGGAAGCTAACCCTAATGGAAAGCTCATGATACGAGTTTTTTTCTTTTTTAAAAAAAAAAACTCAAAAAAATACATATATTTACAGATCTATTACAGATCTTTAAATTTTTTGTTTATATAAAAATTAACATTATATTTACTAATTTATATTTAGATGGTATTTTTTATTAAGAAGTAAGGACAATCTCTATCAATCAATAAGAGTCAAGGACAAACAATATAAAGAAGTGTTTTCTATGCTATGACATGATCAATAAGAGTCAAAGATAGTCTCTGTCTCACGTCGGCTTACTACTGAAGAGTTCAGCATTTAGTCATGAGCAATTATACGTGACGCTTTTTAGAGTTATGAGTCAGCGGGGTTTGAAGATTTTGATTTGAGTTGAGAGAGATTTTGACGATAGAAAAACCACGATGTTGTTTTATAAAGAAGTGTTTAAGAATATTTATATTTTTTTTCTTAATTTTTTTCAATGATTTTGTTATGATTTTTACTATTGTTTATAATTTTTATTATTTTTTCATGTATTATATAGTTTTCCGTGCAAAAGCACGGGACAAAAACTAGTTCCAATTAAATTTCACCCACTATCTCTTCAATCACAATTAGTATTTTATATTCTATATAATTTTGATCTCTCCCATTTAAAGCAAGTTTTCTCTCCAAATACAATTAATATTAGCATTCCATATAATCTTATGCTTTCATTAATTTGTACTCGTGCAATAGGTTATTATCCAAACTTTGAACAAAGTATCTATTAATAATCAAATTATCTGTCTAATAAAAAAGTTATTTCTTTAAATGCGATGATAATGAAGTTTAATTGGGGTTTTTCTTCCTAGTTTTTTTTTATCTCATACTGCTCCAATATTTTGGAGAAGAAAAAAGGTATGCTACAAGTAAACTACCAAATGAATTATATTACCTATAGAAAGTTTAGGTTCCTATTAAACTAGAAATTAAAATGTAAATCTTACAAAATAACATACCAATACAATTATTTTCTCATTGTGTTAAAAAATATTATAAATTATGAAATTACACTAAACATAAACTTTACCAAAATATACAATTAAAATATATCAATGTGAAAAAATCATTCGTAATGTAAGAAA